ATCAATACGATATATTGTCTCACTTGAGCGAAATGCACTAGTTTCGAAGTTGTATTCAGGAAATCATGATTTATGTAAATCAAGTGAAAATTTGAGGGACTCTAGAAGAAAAGGTCATGTATGTTTACCACTATAGTGGACATTTCACTCATCATCGGCTTGGATTACTTGTACATGCTTTGTGAGACAATATTTCGTAACTGATTTAATTTCATGGAAGTGCTAAACTTTGCTCCAGGTAATGTATTCGAACGTTGTAGAAGTGGATCTGCAACTTATTATCAAGGTATTCTCTTATCTTTTAATTGAACAGCCACTCTTAAATAATCACTTTTCTCCGTGATTTATCTTTGTTGAGCATTTTGAACTTTTTTATTGCATAACCTTGAAAAAAGTGATTGACAATAAATAATTAAGAGTCGTATCAATGGACGAGAACAACATTTTGGAGCTCAGCCTCCATGGAGGCCGAATTTTTTGAAAATTTCAAAATTCATACCTTTTGGTTCAAAAAAATCAAAAAACATTGTACAAGTATACTAGGATGTGATGTGTATGTGTGTAAAAAAGTTTAGAATGAAATATCTTGCGATGCGGTCTGTGCAAAAAGAACAAATTCATGGACTTTTGAAATGAATAGTATCATGTGTTGAAAAGTCACAAATTTGTCTTTTTTGCACAACCCTCATTTCAATGTATTTCGTTTTGGAAATTTACACAAATGTGTGTTATGCCTACATGTATGTCTATATTTTTTTCAGAATTTTTTGAAATGTAAAAATATGAATTTTGTTGAATTTTATTATTTTTTTCAGAAACCAGCCTCGATGGAGGTGGAGCTCCAAAAGCAATTTTCTATCAGTGGACATGCTTCTAACTATATATTTATGTATTCGATCACAAATACAGGTAGTGATAGTAGCATTCATTATAATTTATTTACGAAAACCCATTAACAATAAATTGGTACACAAATTATAGCGATTGTGTACAAGCACTCTTTGGACTTTAGTGCCACGAATGTATAAATTATGTTCCCACTGCAACACACGGACAATTACCTAATTAGATCAAAAGTTGTGTGTATAACTAGGTCATCGTATTTTGCATTTTCTTTGATGATTAATTGTGTTATTTGATATTTAGAGGCATGGGCTAGTGCTTGAATGAGATGCCATCGGCTCTGCACATTGGTGGGAGAGCATGTGGTGTGGTGGCACCGCCGTTCTCCGGTCGCCTACGTCGGAGGGGTTGGCGGCCGGTGGTGTGTACGCGGCGGCGGCGGGAACTGGGGAGCCCGATGGGATTGTGGAGGGGGGCGAGAGAGAGAGAGAGAGGCGTGTTTGAGGAAGCCAAACCTTTGCCGCGT